CTGGGGATCAAGCCTGCAACCTGGGCATGTGCCTGTCTAGAATCAAACCTAGGATTCTTCAGTCTCAGTCTGACACTCTATCCACTGAGCCAAAACAGCCAGGAGTTTTCATTTTATTCTTAGTTACCCAATGTGAAGCTCCTGGCAGGACCAAGGCTTTTGCTGTTGATCTCAAAGAAGCCCAGACAAATGGAGAGCTATCAACAGCCTTTCCTGTTTGTTTATGCAAAGTTCCAAATCTGCAAAATAAAACTGCATTCTCTTGTTATTTTAATCTAATCTTTCCTTTGGGGGGGGGAGTATTGTTTTAAAGTAAATGTCTTATATTTTTTTAGGCTTACCTCCACTTCCTTCAGCTTCTAGAACGGGCTTTGCAGAATTTTCCATGAGGGAGCGCATGAGGGAGAAATTAAAAGCTGCAAGGGTAAGAGGACCGCGTGAATGCTTTGTTCAGTCCTCAGGGCAGCTCTCTGGGTCTTGTCTCTAACTTGCTTTGTTTGTTCAAAACTGTGCGGATCTGAATAGCGGTAAATGTTTTTCACATGTTGAATGCTAATGTAGTATTTAACATTGGCGCAGACAAAAATTAGCCTTGAGAAGCGTTCATTGTTGTTCTTCTAAACCACCTTGCTTGCTCTCATTGCTTACGGAGGTAAAGCGTGTATCTTTCACTGATTGTACTCCCTGAGAGGGTGACTGCGGTTTTCATAGCATTACTGACCCCATGTAGCAGTAATTTTCTGTTTGACTTTTTAGTCCAAAGCAGAAAGTGCGTTGCTCCAGGAAATTTCCACCCCTCGGCCCAGGCGCTTACGAAGCCCCAGTGAGAAAGAACTGGAGACTGAATTTGGTGTGGAGGTGAGAAACGGGCCATCTCTGCTTTATGATCGAAGACAGTGAAACAGAACGTAAAAGTTCCAGCAGAAGTTCCAGAACAGTGCTCTGCACAGAGGAGGTGTTAAGTGCTTATTAGTAATTATATTAGCTACTACTTATAGAGTGCTACTCGGTGCCAGGCATTGTGCCAAGTCTTGAACCCGTGTTATCCCATGTCATTACCCAACACCCCTAGGGGGTGGGTGCTATT